GATCCCGTCACAGGAGGCGGCAAGTACAACGCAAAGGAAACGTAAAGGCAAGGGGCACACCCGCAAGGCAACCCTACGGCCAGATCCACGATCTAGGCCTCGGATCCATAAGCTCGAATATTCGCTTAGGATTCGGAACCATCCACGGACGCAGAGTGAAGATTTTCCACTGCTGCTCCACCCCATCCCCACGTCTCGCCAAGACACTCAAGCTTCACCACTTGAACTCTTCGGAAGTTACCGAGAGAGCAAGATCCCGCCCTACCGACGGGTACACAAGGTGAGGAAAGTTCAGCAGAACACGGATCATCAAGGAACCCCCTCCGTTAGTCGGTGTCTGGGCGCAGTTGGTAAGTTGGATCTGGCAATCTCGCAGATTTTGCTGATCCCGCAACACCACATCTGCACTACAACGTGGGGCATAAATTGTGCCACTACTGTGCTGGGGAGTTCAACGACATGAATGATGTCGGACCTCATCTGATTGCTGCCTGCCCCAAGATGAAGTACGACTTGAGCCTGGGCGTCAAGCGTAGAAATGTCTGGAGCCGTGGCAAACAAGTGGGCACTTGCTGGTCGAAGCCGCAAGGAAAGGGCAAGTCGGCTACCAAGATCAAGAAACCAGCCCGCAAGCAGGTCCCAGTTGAGGACTGTCTACCGAAACCGGTGAACGCGTGCGAGACGGTGCAGCCACAAACTCCACTGCCTGTCAGTCCGCCAACGTCAATGTTGACACCCGGCTACGAAGATATGCACGGCATCGAGCCAATGGACACGGACGAGTCCATGTCGTTCTTCGACACGCCTGTCAACGCGGGACAAGTCACGGAAGCGCCAACCGGTGAGGGGCAGATCCTCGACATGGCGGCAGATGTCAACAAGATGGCAGTCGACATGGAACAAGCGGTAAGATCCATGTATCCTTTTCTGCTTGACAGTGAAACATTTCTGACCAATGACTATTGGGTACTCGATTCAGGATGCGGGTTCGGGTTAGCCAGTGAGGAGTCCCGGCTCGTGGAGAAGAGACCCGACAACGGTTACATGTTTACATTTGCAGAAGGGTCTAAGCATACAAATACACACATTGGCACTGTGAAACTTTATTTGCATGGTCCGGGAGGTATCCGACCGTTTCAGCTTACAAACATTGCGCTAGGACTGCATGCTAAGTCGTATATTCTTAGCGAATACTAGCTACAAAGGGGAGGGTATCAGATTATAGGGTCAGCCAATGGCGACTTTTAATTTGTCCTCTGTAGGAACCAATTGGTTTTTGTGGCCAAGGCAACTATCGGGGCGTATTATATACAATCCAAAACAGTAAAAGAACGACAAGCGTTCTGCCACGCGGTGAAAACGCAACCATGCAAGCCACTGGCATTGCCAGGAGTGGGCAAAGTAGAGGCTGCACTAAAGGAATGGCACGTAAAGTTGGGGCACTTGAACAAAGAGCAGGTGATCACAATGTTGACCAAACCAGTGGTAGCCGGTATGCCCACACTAAAGGCATCTGTTCTAAGGCAAGTGCCACTCTACTTTACAACATGTACGGAGATGAAGAAGAAACGGATGTCGTATCGCAATACAAAGAGGTCAAGAAATGCAAAGCCGATCAGCACGATACACATGGACACAAATGGTCCGATGAAGACAATGGGAGTCTTTGGAACCGTGGACACTAGCAGCAATACTTCTGCTAGTGGGCAACGTAAGTGGCGTTTATTTGGATGTGGGATGGTAAGCTTGCACATGCTGTTCCTAAAGATTGGGATTTTCCGGCTCGTGTAAGTGTGAAGTCGATGTGGAACTTATGGTTCTTTGGCGACAAAGACGCTAAGATTCGTCCTTGACGGACGCTCAGCAAGCAGCACGATATCAAACCAAAACACCAAATGCGGCACTCTCGGGTTAGAATAGTGATGCAGTATCTTGAACATATTGCTAAAGACTCTGGAGCACTATCCGACGGTGTAAATGGGTTTCTGTCCTACAAATATCTGAGGCAGACAGCCTCTTTGACATTGTATTTGCTAAAATGCTGTCCCAATTGTACACGGTGACACCAAAACGAGCAGAAGACTTTTCGTGTGGTACTGCATACAATAGACTGACGCAGTATCGACGACGTCAGCAGCCAGCTCAGCAATAGATGAAGCACTTTACTTACCACTGTATTTACAACCAACCCAGATCGCGTATCCGCTGTGATCTCATGCCTATCACAAATGCAGGCATTATATACATTTCACCTATGATCACGGAGCTGACCTTTCGATACATGAACCGCGCAAAAACACAAATAACAACAGAATTTAATGCTTTGGGATTGTGAAAACTGTTGATGCCAACATGGGCAGAATCTATAAATAATTTTCTTCGCAATCGTTCCCTACTACAAAATGCACGATGAATTCATAATTTTTTTTATTTTACACTTTTTAAGCCTGGCGTTTTGTATGTAGGGAGTTCTTTGTTTATTTTTGCACGAAAATTCCATACTGACTGTGAAGTTTTGATTTTACAAAGCATTATGATGTGACCACATTTTCATGTTGCATGAACGTTGACGCAGTTGACGACAAAGTAATCCTGGTTGGGCTTCCCATAGCTAGCTTACGCTTCCTATCACCCAGTATAAAGTTCGTCTACAGTACTCCACTGCATGTTAGTCAATTTTACTAGACACTAACTACTGTGATTTTCATTAATTTTGCCGCCCGATTTGCTGATATAGAGCAGGGTGTAGCGTAATTAGGTTCGAATTAACTAGACTTAAGGTCTTAATAATGAGGCGACGTCATTCCCAGACGACCTTACCTTCCACTACTCAGTTTAACTAATTAAGGAAGGGATAAACACTAAACATATGCATACTGTAGCGCGATTGCCGAGTAAAATGGTGCTATGACCACCTATGGCGGTAAGACTACGCTTAATCATAGATTGGAAGTGTCATAGCAAATGATTTTGGCCAGATCACTTAAGCCGTCCAATGACGGCAATTCCGACACTTCCTCTTTAATTCGAAGCGCCCATCGACATATCCGGCCCGAGATAGCAATCTTACCTTACCCCTACTTTCTACTGTAGTATTTCGGAGGCGTTTAGGAAGTCGAATCCGATATAGTGGACCTCAGATCACCCGCTTTGCCAAAATGGATGAAAACCACAATAAGAGCTAGCTCAAAACTATATCATAACAGAGGGGACTGTATGACACTTGGGAATATTGGTGTTGACTTGATATTTTTGGTATGAAAATAGAAAATGCTAAAACTAATCTGAGTGTAAATGTATTTGTGAGACCTGAGGTTTTGATACCTCAAAGCCTGGTGATTCGGCGGGTGTCGAGTGGCGATACCCGCTGGTAATTTTTTGTTTCTGCTCCCTAGTGCTTGACAGCTTGAGGCTTCTTATGACGGGGTCACACAGCACCTTGCACAGAGGAGGTGCTTAAGGGTATTTGCTACCCGAGTGAACGTTAGTCCACGTGTTTCCGGCCTAAGAGGGAACGGTTTGCTACTCAGAAGAGTAGATGTAAGACTGATGTATTTATAAGTAAACTTAGCTTGGATCCTATACAAACTAGAGGTTACCTATAGTGGAGCTAAGTAGTCATGCGCTAACTGGCTCCTAGAGCACCTGGTACCGTGTACCAGTTGTCCACAAGAGTCACGGGTCACTCTTTATGTAACCTGATGTACACTGGATTGACCCCTTAAAACACTTCTCTTGTTGTTGGAATTTGCGAATCTAGGCTTGATTCTGCGTTAGGGGGGGGACCTTCGGCGAATGAGCCTTGCGTCGATGCAGGGGGGGGGGGCTTCCGCGTCGTCGGTACCGTGTAGGATCCGCAGAGGAAGGCCTCGACGAAGCAGCTGTTAGCCGCAGTTGGGCAACTCTTATTTTTGGTAACTTCGACCTGGGTTCGCCTGGGTTGAAGTCATGCTCCTTGGCTTGCCTTGGAGTAAAAATCTGATTGGCTTGGATTTTAATCCTGCTGTGGCCAGTTGGCAACCGGTTTTAGGACAGGGCTAGTGTTATATCTGGGTCAATTGCTTGTGGGGACGTTTTACACATTGGGTGGTTGCTGCGTCGAGGGTCTTTTGACTCTTGCTGAGACCTCCGGGTGTTTCTTGTAGAACCATGGAAGGTGTGACCCGCTATGCGCGTGGTGTTAGGCTGCTTGGCTTCGTGCTCGGACTTAGCCGAGATATTTAACATATTGAAGAGTGGTGTTGTAGCTCGTAACTGGGTAGACCATGGGCTAAGGACAAAACTTAATGCTTACCGCGGCTGCTAGTACTTCTGCGGACCAAACACACATGGCTGAAAAGCTGACGGGCTAATGGTCTGGCTCCGGAAAGGCACTACCTCTTAGCGTAAACCGTGAGCTGCTAAGTCAGACTTGGAATTCAGTGGCGTTTGGTGATATCAAAGGGTTCTGAGATGAGTTCAGGACTTCTGCGATGAAGTTTGTGCTGCGAATGCCATAGCTTACAAGGACCCGGGGACGGAATTCTTGTTCTAATGAAGCTCTCATCTTTGTTGTACTTGTAATGCTGGAGCCGCTGTCGTCAGGCGTATACGACCCTGACACGTTATACTCAAAGCGTCCCGAGGGAGATCTTTAGCCGATAAAGCCTTGTAGGGAGGGCCTACCAAATTCTTTTCAGCCGACAGACGCGGAGTTGGTGTGGGAGGTCAAGATTGGTCCGTTCGAGGGTTGGATAGAGGAGCATTGTCTGTTGCAGGACTTAGGGAATCTTGACAATATTGTAAACGATTCCGCATTGCGCTTGAGCTTGCTCAGGCGTTTCCCTGCACTTCTGGCCTGATGCTACCTCCTTGACGTGGTGGGTCGGCTTTCCACTCATCAGTACTAACCCGATTGCGCGTTATACCAACTCATTGAGTAGGTAATTCCGAACTTAGGCGCGTCCTAGCTGATAGCAGCCGAAATCTTGCGCTTCCTCGTGGTGCTTGCACAGCGATAGCTACCCATTCAAGATCGCCAAGATCTCCACGTGCTCAAGGTCTTCAAGGTCTTCAGGGTCTTCCTCGTAGTCGTAGGTAATCGTAGGGAGATTTAGATCCAGGTCTAAATTTAAAACTAATCCACCCCTTAAACCGTAAAACCACTTTGCGTCGCCACCGCGGTAGCAATCGGAGCGACCAGCAACCTGCCTCAACAGCTCCAACTGCTCCTGATCACAGACATCCCTGCATGCAAACCAGACTGAAGCCATCGAGGGGATGATCAGCGATATTCGTTTCGATGAAGACGGTAGAGCGCGGCGTCGAACAGGAGGTTCCGGAAGATCAGCTCAGACGATACCAGGTCGCCGTCGAGCGGTATCACGTAAGCCGTCACCTATAGATCGTGCTCGCGAGGCACTCGGCGAGGACACTGTCCGTTAACTGCAAGCAACTTACCGATCCTTGGATTTGACATGGGGAGGGTCCGAGCACAACCAGGCTGAAGGCATCGTTCTCAGTTTAATTTGCCAAGGTGTATCAGACCCACAAATACGCGCTATTTTCGGAGCTGGAGGCTCACCGAAACAGAGTTTAAGAGGAGCGGTAGAAAACAGGCTTGATACGCTGCACACACGTCGCCGCGGTACTACTCCAAAACATGCGTTCAGTCAAGACGATGCATCCTTTTTATTTCATCTTGTGCAGATTGGGAACTTGAAGACGTTTCCGTGCTCTCATCGGCGTCCTAAGCAGTATTTTGTGGAGCCAAAGATTACATGGAAGTTACTTTGGAAAATATATAAGAAAACAGCAGAGGGGCTGAGCGAAGAGTTATTCAGTGCTGGGCGGTCACGAAAAGTACAGCCTCGACCTCTATACTCTCCTTCTTTTAACCCGTGAGTAGCTTCGTATCTAAAAACAATTTAAAAAAATAGTTTTTAAAAGATTTTTGAGAGCCGGGTCATTATGGTGACCCGAGTCACCACCAAGCGCTTCATTTGTTACATGTTTTTACTGGTTGCTAGGCAGGTGACTGGAACATCGCATATACTCTTTAAGTGTGCATGTAGATGTCCACGAAGTTGCGGTTCTATATCAACACTAATGAATAGCGTGGCACATGGTCCTGATTACGACATCTGCTGAGCTGTAATTGCTCCCCACCAACTGTAAAAGTCCTCAACAATTGTGGGGTTTCACCAGCCTATCTGGTGGACTTCAGTACATGCTTTTCGCGGTTAGACTACCAGAAACCTACAATTCTCGCTTTGTAGGATAATTTAAAGACTTCTATTACAAGCATCAATTTTTTTAAAAGATCGCGGTTGGAAATGGTCACCTGCAAGGGCTTTCGGACGGGTGTGCATAGCAGTTTGCGCAGTAAGGTCATCCTGTGAAAACGTATGTTTTATTAGAGCATTTTAGGCTTTTTTTTAGTTTCCCTTAAATCTTTCGTGGAGCTATTTACTCTTAATATCTAAACATGTTCCAAGCGAGCTAAAACTTTACGAAAAGAAAGGCGCTGGCCGGTGGACGGCCTGCACGACGTTAAAAAAAGTAAATCGGTGAATCCTATTATTTTATGAGACTGGTTAGAGGTACCGAGCAAAATCGTATCTAAACGAAACCAAACTGTATGCGCACGTAATTTATCCAGGTAAAATACCGCTGACTCCAAATTTTAGGATCCCATATTTATAAAAAATGACACCCCCTCTCCCCCCTTTCACCCATCCTGGCATTTCTCAGCCTATCATTCGAAAATCGCCCTCTTCCAGCGCAAGTCAGTGCACCCCGAAGGTCAGTGCAGCCCAGAAGGCATGTATATGGATTACCGACTAACTTGTTCTTTTGTTTATGTTCTCCATGCAGTTATGAGTGATAGTGAACCCGAGTTGCATGTTCCGTCGTTCACTTGGACGCCACCCCCGGTCGATGTCGAATGGCACGACAATTGGGATGATTTCAATGCGTACATTGCGCAGTATCAAGCACAAACACACCAGATCTTCCGCCAACGCACATCAACGTCGGTAGCGAAGCGTAACCGCGAGATTAAGGAGCGAGCGGCGAGTCGCGCTGGTGAGGTTCTACTTGGGCAACAAGGAGGTGACGATGGTGACGTTGACGACGGAGCTGAACGCTTAATTCCGGAGGATTTTGGCAACTTCTGGATTAAGTTAGTGTGCACTAATGGCTGGAACCGGAAGAGTCGAGGGAAAGAAATCCGGAAGAGTTACTTCGAAAAGAGTACGGGATGCAAGGCAAACATTAAAGCCGCCGTTTCATGGAATGGGGCCGAAGACGTTCAAAAATTTATGGTGCGGATCACTGCCTGTAGCGTTGAGCATAACCACAAGGTGTCGAAGGCGATTTACGAGAATCATGCCTCAAATCGACGCGTGGATAACCCTGCCCTTCTTGCCTTCGTCGACGAACTCCAGGCTGCCGGGTCGAAACCGAAGTTGATCATGCAGTACCTTCGAAAGAAGACAGGTGCGCCGACAAGCTCTGCTACTGCTTTCACATGTTTTCTTATATTTCTCTGATGATCGGTGTAGGCAAAAACGTCATGCTACGGGATGTCCTCAACATGGTGGCGAAGATGAAAGAGAAGCGAAAGGGGGGTGCTACCGTTGAGGAGCGGTTGGAAACCGTTTTGCGAGGTGTGTGTGAGAGTCGAGGAAATCGTGCGTCCGTGTTCATTGACGATGCAAAGATCACACAGACAATCACACTTCAAACAAGGCAGATGCGGCGCTGGTTTAAAGCTTTCCCTGAAGTTATGCTAGTCGTTGCTACGCACAATACGAATGAGTCACGCTACAAGCTGTTCTCTTTCATGGTGAACGATGTATATGGCCATGTGAGTATAGGTACCTTTCGCTACTCGCTCAGTGACTCTTGTACACGATGCAGCTTCGAAGTACCTCCGGTTACACAAGTGTCTTGCTTGAGTACTGGAGTTACTCTTTGAGGTACTGGAGTTACTTTATGTGTAACTAACTTATTTGTTCAACGTTCTGCATTATTAGGGCCAGTATGTTCATCACAGTCTTATGGAGAATGAGAGCGCGGAATGTCTGACAGATGCAATTCGATCCTTTAAATTTCACAACTCTTCGTGGGAGAAGGTCAAGGTAATAGTCATCGACAAGGATATGGGCGAGCTTGGATTGCTGGAGGACGAATTTCCGGGTGTGAAAATTATTCTCTGCCATTTCCATCTGAAGAAGTATATTCGTGCTGAAATGGTGAAGCGTGAGTATGGAGGACCCTCGAGCTTTGACAAAGACCAAGTGGGGGATGCTGTCGACATGATGAGACTTGCTGCTTCTCCAGAGGAGTACATCAAATATCTGAAGTACATGTACTTCCTGCTCGATAGAGTTCAGCTTCGAGACAGCGACACTATTCCAGAGCCTAAGCACCCTTTCTTGGAATATTTCATGCGAAATTGGGACTCTATGAAGGAACGATGGGTGCTATATGCGCGTTCTGATGTACCCCATCTGGGGAATCACACAAACAACAGGTACAATGGCTTTCGGAATGCTGCTTCTAAATTAGTACTGAACTTGGGCCGTTTTACCACAGACTGGAATCATCGTGGGGTCATATCAAGGATATTTTAAGGGCAGACATGGCGTTGGATGAATGCGTCGATACCTTGATGTTCTTACAAGCCGTTGCCGAGATGGAGTACGCCAAGAAGATAACTGATGTTGGTCAGATGCGCTACGAAGGTGCAGATGAAGAATTAAAAATTCTTGCCCGTGATGTAAGTCCCTATGCGTACCGGCTAATTGAGCAGCAGTACTGGATGTCCAAGGATAGAAAGACCCATTACGAGATAAAGGAACTGCAACCAAGTTTGTTTCTTCTTACTGGAGACAACCGTACAAGTGTATATCACGTGGATACTTCGGTACGTGAACCAGTGGAACTTTATCTGTAATCCCTATCTAATTTTATGTGTTTATTGAGGTGCCTTTAGCGATATCAGTGCTCGTGTGTGTTTATGCGAGCAATGCTTTTACCATGCCGCCACGTCATGTATTGGCGTCTAATGAACGACAAGACTGCTATTCCTATTTCGCAATATCGCGTCTCGGTGGCAGTTGGTGTGCAAACTAAATCAACCAGCCGCTGAGAGATATCCCAGACACTAACGTTGCGTGCAAGCTTTTCAAATCTGCGATTCTGCAATGGCAGCAAGGAATCATCAGGTGCTGAACGGAACCACAAAATACAAGCATGCGCTCCAACGCGGAATGAGTATTGCCGATATCATGAGCAGAAATGGAACTCACGTTTTTGGAGAGATGATGGTAGCATTGGAGAAATTCGAGGAGGTGATCAAGGATGGAGTAGCTCCGTTTGTCGGACGCGTAGACGATCGCGTTGAACCGCTGTCTCAGGTGGCTTCACTGCCTTTTTCGTTCGATAACAATGATTCTGCACGCGATGATACCACAAGGGTCTCCTACTCTCTGACGGCTTTAAAGTGTGACCACAGTGATGACGAGCAAGCTCCGACGCAGCGTGCAGCGATACCTAAGGAGCCCAAACACATCCAGTTACAGAGCAGAAAGTGTTGGGTACCTCTGCAGTACCTCCAGTCACCGAGCCTGAAATGTTGGATACTTCTACTGTACCTCCAGTCACTGAGCAAGTATCGGGTGCTGGTATTGTATCTCCAGTCACCAAGCAAGATGTACTGGCTACTTCTACTGTACCTTCAGTTACAGGAAATACAAGTGGAGATCGGGTGGGTGTCATTCATGGATTTTTTCATCATTCCAGATGAACTGTCTGATGGAGTTGCTACCGAACCAAAAGAGCGTGAAAATGCAATCAAGCAGCTTATGCTTCGAGGCGGACGCGTGACATCGTTTGGCAGTGTACCGTATCGAGCCCTACTGACATTTTGTGGGAGTTCATGGCTTGACGACAATTGTATGGGGCACGGGATAGCGCTGCTACACCGTGAGCATCCTGATGTTGGCGTCGTCAACCCTCTCTTCCTGCGTTTCCAGCTCCGAGAGCAGCAGCTTACGACTGTCAAAGCCGGCAACCCGTTCGCGAAAACAAACAAGATAGTGCTGATACCGTTGCATATCGACAACAACCACTGGTGCGGTGCTGTGATCGATTTTCGGAGAGAGACCCGGAGAATCACGCTCTTTGACCCGCTTCAAGCGTCGAAGGCAAAGTACTACGACACCTGTGAAGCCCAACTGAAGAGTATTTTTGGAGAACTATGTACCCTTCTGACAATCAAGCGAGAAACACGTTCACGACAGCCAGATGGATCAAGTTGCGGTGTAGCTGTCCTTATGTTTTTCGAGTGCTACCTCAGAGGAATTCCACTGCCAGCCAAACCAACCTTAGCATTCATACGATTTTTAAGGCTCCGTTACATGCTGAAATGTCTGATGTAGCTACATTTAGTCTTGCCAAATGAATTCATGCACATTAATGCTTCACTGTCTCGCTCTTGACCTAGTTTTCGGTGAGGTGCATTGCTGTCACTGAGAGTTTTCTAATCTAACGACAGGTGATGATCCCAATGTGCGATGGTTAGCTGATCATACATGAGTTCTAGGTCATCCACTGGATGGACTTGCAGGTGATTGCAGCGTTTGACATGGACGAAAAGCGATCAGCTCACAACTTGCTCGATTACCGGTAAATGCAGAATGTTTCCTTGCCTTCAAGGAAGCTTATACGCGCACCAGGCGTGTGTGTGGCCTGAAAAGACCAGATCCGGCCGCACTTTGGCCAGCAACTCCGTCGACAGCTCGCGAGAGAGAACGTGGTGGTGCGTTTCGTACTTGAAACCCGGGTGCTCATAGGTGACGTGGCCCGCTTCGCGCAGCCGTTCTTCTCCACACTGGAGGTCGTCAGCACGGAAGAGCGGCAGGTGTGTGAGCAACACTACACTGCCAGTCGTTCGCGCTCGAAGGTCCTCAAAGTTGACGCTCTCCAGGAAGCTGCACAAGCAGAAGGAGAAGAAAAGAAAATCGTTCGCTCAGATCTCCAGCTTGAACACTTGAAAAACTGCAATTGCTACCTCTTAGCCTCCGTCTTGACTGCTCGACTAGCCACATCCGCGTCCAGCGCCATCGTATTCAGCCTCACAAATGTGTGGCCTCCGATTTCGTCAATCCGGTTCGCCTCCCCGAACGTGACTTCGTAGCGCTTCAAGTCCTCAATCCTCATGTCCCGTCCAAACGAGGTATCATGGTTGCCGACCTGTCAAAAATCCTGTCAGCAATTGCAACCTCTTGTAGCTCCAAACTAGTCGCACCAAGTTCAGCGTCTTCAAGGGCAAAAAGCTGGAAAAGACCCGAAAGAACCGCCCAGCGTATTCGCCGTAATCCGCATCTGACGTCCAACGATTCCCCTCATCGAATCGGTCGCCGAGTACCAGGGCCACATCGGGTTTGTGCACGTCCACAGCCGCTCGGGCGGCTATATGCACCTGCCAGTCCACCCAGAGACGCTCGAGCCATGAGCGCCTTCTCTTACCCAGCAGATGCACGTCCGTCACCACCAGTCCGCCTACAAGTAAATGAATGCTCCCCGTGAAACATTAAGTCTTGTGTACCTTCAAGCAACACATCAGTACAACAAGTCACATTCATGCAACGTGCATGGCTGGATCCACGAGAGCCACACGATCTAATGTCTACAAACGATGTAATTTTTGAAATCAACTGCCAATAAAATACCGAATATTACCGCTCTGAATTGTAATCGGTACCTGTAGGACATCACTCGGTGCCTACGTGCCTGGAGGCACTCGGACCATGTGCCCCTAACTCTCGCTTAAGTACGAGCTGCTCGGTACCTTTAACAACGCTCTTAAAGGCTTTTTACTTAAGTACTTGAAATTAATACCGGTTTACTGGAAGTAATCTTATGTTTACTAAAAGGAGTAAATTTGCTCTTCGGTTTTATTTCTAATAATGAAATAAATACTATGTTTAGTAAATACTTATAAGTATTAGAATATCATAAGTAGAACCGGTATTAATACAAGTACAAATAAGTTTTAGATTATCAAAAGTAGAACCGGTATTAATACAAGTACGAACATGATCTGTTCAAGCATTACATACCTCAAGCCAACCCCCATAACAAAATTCAGTAGACATAGCCAAGCAGCAGCGCTTCCAATGTTTCATTCCTGCCTTCTTCATGATTTGCCACCAAGCGCGTACAGGCTAATTCTGCCTTCCGACCCTCTGTAGTGAAGCGTCTTGCCTCCGCGGGCATGGCCTCCATCACTCATGATCGAAGTCGAAAGACTGATGTTCCTGCTTCGCGAGCATTCCTACTCAGCCGAGGCCCAACGCATTCCGACGGCAAGCCTGAAGTCCGTTCGTACAGTTCACACCCTATGACCAGGTTCGCGAACTCGTTAACGTTTGGCGTTGTCAACTCGATTCGAGCCATCCCCACCATGTACGGATATGCCGCCATCATTTTCAGCCACCCGACCTTCCTGCACTACATGCCGGCCTTGTCCAAGCTCGTCATCTTCTCCAGCGCAATCCACCAGCTCATGTTCACGTTTATGAGCTCGCTACCGTTCGCCATCGGTCAAGTCCAGAATGTCGGTCTCATCTTTCTTAGCGCCATGGCCACCTCGATCTGTAACTCGCTTAACGACAACGACGACGTAGACGTGACTGCAGAGGCGAAGATTGCCACGACTATCGTCACTATCGGCGTCGCAACAGCTTCGTTAGGCGTTTGTCTTGTCGTTATGGGACGCTTTAAGCTCGCTGCTCTGGCCTCGTACCTACCGATGCCCGTGATCGGAGGCTATCTCGCCTACACCGGCATCTTCTGTCTCTTTGCCGGTTTCGCAGTCAGCACTGGATTAGTCGTCAACGACTTTTCTTCGATGCTGGATTCGTTCAAAGACTCTCGCAACATCATCCTGTGTCTTCCAGGATTCCTCGGTGGTGTCTTGCTGTTGGTGATTTCAAAGAGATTTAAGAACCCATTTGCACTGTCGACTGCTTATTCGTGGACCATGCCAGTGCTTTTCTTCCTG